TGCACATACACACACGTGTGTGTCATCTATGGATGATCTATCTATGATTTAGTTGAGATTTAGGGCTCCATCTCCAGTGATGCCAGCTCTGCTTTAGGCAAGCATTTTGCTAAGTGTTATTTTGCTTACAAGTGATTGTTTTCATGGATTTTGATTCTAGTAATAATTTTGTAAACTTGAAAAATTAGAGTTCTCTCATGCCTTTAATATCTATTCTCATTGATTCTATGTCAGTAGCTAGTAGTGTAGCAATCCTCAGATTATGCCATTTGGGAATACTATATTCCCATGTGAGTGCTTTGGGGATTAAAGAAGGAAGTAGAGATGAGGAGACTTCCTGCAGATAGTTACTGTTTCATTTTACATGGTCACACTCATCTCTGATGCTTGTTGCTCTGCATTCTCTCATCACTCCCATGTGTTTATACTGAGAGTCTCTTCTTGGTGCAGTCATCACTCTGTAAGATGTAACACTATTCTTATATCATGATGGCTAACCCTCTTCATTTATCTGACATATGTTGTATAATATTCTGGAATCTATAGTTCATTGTTTTAAAAATATGAAAAAGTCAACTTCTCCATTCACACATGTATAGACATGCTCAGATAGAACCATGTTTCTTTCTATTCTAAGTTAGTCAGCAGAAAAGCTTCTATTCATCTGTAGCTCTGATAATAATAATGTAAAAATGATCTCTCAGCTTGCTCTCTCCAATATGCATCATAGACAAGACAGCAGTGCTCGATTTATGGCTTATTCGATTCCTTCAATAATAATACATACTAGTTTGCAGTGAATTGCATTTTATCAAGAGACAAGGGTCAAATAATAGGAGAAAAACAATGTGCAACTTGTGATTCTGCCTGGTGAGATTGGTGTCCTCTTCTTCTAGATCTAGATCTATAAACTCAAAAAATACTTGGCTACCTATTTGATCATTATTTCAGTGTTTCCATTGTGTTTGAAAAAGGAAAAGGATGATGGGTGAATTTCAAAAGACCTGCTTTCTAAGAAATAGAGCTTCCTAATTTAGCAGCTTGTCACAGAGTCAGGGACCCATCATCATCCCGAGGGTCACTGTAGGGCAGCAGGACGTGTTTCCAAATGGACTCAGTTCCTATGTCAGACGACCTGCAGTGTAGTAAACTAGAGAGCAACAGATACAACAAGCTCCACACAAGTTCTGTTTACTCAAATAAGAAAGGAGGGTGCATTTGAGCATTTTTATTGATATGCATCACTGCCATTCAGGCTTGGATGTACTAGTGGAGGCTTTATGTGGAAGAAGGAAACTGTGGGCCTTTGCTTACCTTACCTATGGGGAAACTGCATAAGACATAGTGGATAGTGTGCTAGAAGAGCACCCGATGGCCAGTTGTAGATGTCCCTTTGAAACCTGCGGCTCTGGAGCTGCTTACATGCTCCCAACAGCGTTCTTGTTCATTAAGCCCTTGAACAGCTGACCTCTTCCTCCCCCTGTGCCTTCTTCCTTTTTCATCCATAGTGTTCCTGAAAGCTGACAGGTAGTGGTTCCTCTAGCCATTTAACCTTCTTTTCTAGTCCATTCTAAATCCAGCTTGTGCCCAAGTAAACCTACTTAGCACTACCAGCGGAAGGTTATGACTCTTCATGCAAGAGCACTGACCAAAAATCCAATCCTGTTATCTATTTTGTGTGTGTGTGTGTGTGTGTGTGTGTGTGTGTGTGTGTGTGTGTGTGTTTACACTATGTGTGTAGTGTATGTGCATATGCCTATGGAGGTACACAGGTCTGTATTTGAGCAAGTGGAGGCCACAGAAATATGTGGAATATCTTACTCTCTTGATCTCCACCTTGGTATTTGAAACAGGATCTATTCCTGAATTGCAACTCAACATCTTGTTTAGGCAGGCTAAGCAGTGCGCTTCTGGGACCCACTTGCCCATTCCCTCAAATGCACACACAGTCATATCTGGCTGTTTCATGGGTGCTTAGGATTCGAACTCCAGTCCTCTTCTTTCATAGCAAGTGTTCTTACTCACTGAGATATCTCCTCAGCCCCCAACCAGAACTGATAGAATAAAATGCTCTGTTTTTGAACAGTGTTTCTTTTTCACTCCTTTGTTACTATCAATGAAATGTACAGACTTGAAGGTTGGGCGTTCTGATTTCAGCTTCCTCAACTCTCACCAGCCCCAGCACTGCTTTGTGAGCTTGGCTGAGCCGTTAAACCTTTTAGTATCCTTCACTATGAAGTAGCATCTTGACACACACCCATCTCTTTGGTCCTTGTGAGTTTAGTGGCACAGACACAGCTTAGCTCAAGAACTAGTTCTGTAAATTGTAGCTATTTTTATTATTAACTCAATGGGGAGAAACAAGATGGATCCTTTCCTCTGTGGTTATTCTCCTACTCCACAGTTCTTATGGACTAGAGGTTTATAGCACACGTTTTTCACACATTCGACCCATAGTAATGGCAGAAGTCACTATTTGTGAGGGTATTTGATAAATCTCAGTGAAGTCTGCTGTACACTTTCCAGTGTACTGTTAACCTTAGCCCCAGGAAGGACACATCCTGTTCTAGTGTTGTCCGTATTTTATCAAGTTAATTTTTTCCAAGTTTATTTTTTAATTTTCATTTTATTTTTAATTATATACATATTGTGTGGATGTACACATGTGAGTGCATTGGTAATAGAGTCCAAAAGAGGGTAATGTGTCCCCTGGAGCTGGAGTTACTGATAGTTGTGAGCTTTGTGATGTGGATACCGGAACCCTAACTTGTATTCTCTAGAAGAGCAGAATGCTAGGCCATCTCTCCAGCCCGTATCTCCTCCAGTTCCCACAAGGTTTATTGGTCATGATGGTAGTGGTGGTGGTGGTGGTGGTGGTGGTGGTGGTGGTGGTGGTGGTGGTGGTGGTGGATGGTTTGGGGTTTAGCTCTCAAATTATAATCTGGCCATTTGAACCTGGGTACAGGATATATTCTGAAATGAGTTAGAAGCCTTTTCCGTGAAGCTGTGCATACAGATGACTCTTTAAACACTAAAGATAGTTTTGCCATTGGTCCCTGTCTTTAATTTGGGTGTTTGTTTCTGCAATGGTTCTCTCTTGGAGATTCCTAGTTGGCATCAATTTAAAAAATCCCTCAATATTTTATTTGTGTTCTGTACAGATTCTTGACTTAATGAGTGTCTCTCCAGGATCCTAAAGTGTACAGTAACTGTGCATACATCTCTTACCCATGTCATATGCTTTACAGTTTGGTTTGTTTATTTCTAATGTATCTGTTTTAGGTTAAAGCAGCAGTGACTGAGAAAACAAATGCTTGGTGGCATATAAATTAAATCATTTCTTGTCAAGATTTCTGTGTATCCTTTGATTTTACTTAATTAGCATAAGAGAACTAAAGAAAGCTAAAGGGAAAAGCAGAATAAATATGCTATTTATTATATTTATTTATTTTTAAAACAGTTTTATTAAGAATTTTTTAATGAGAGAGAGGTGATTAAAAATTGGTGACAGTTTTGCTGGACATGCTAAAAGTAGGGTCAGCATTGATGCTATGTCCTGACAATCCCAGCTCCTAGATGAGCTGCTTTGTGTCCTATTAACATTGAGGGCTTATCTTGCTGGCAGGACTGTTCTCAGCCCTCCTGTCAATAGAAGGCAAGCTGGTGCAATCAATCAGATACTGTCAAGTACAAGGCCAGGTAAACGGCCCCACAACAGAGCAATTGTCTCTGAAAGTGAATCCTCGTGTATATATAGCTGCTATGTCCTTCTATTAATTTTGAACATCAAAGGTTATTGCCATAATTATCCTAATTACACCATAAAATTCTGATGTTTACTGAATGAATTGAGTTGCCTTGGAAATAAATGAAGGAGGGAGAGGTGGAACTGGTTACTGGAGTTTTTAAAGAAAAGAATAAGGGCATGTAAGTGTGTGAAAACCTAGCATCTCTATTATTAGGCTCAATCTCAAATTAAGAAGATAACACTTTAAACACTATTTGTAAAATTCCCATTCCCAAATTCCTGATAAGCTTGATGGTTAAATAAAGGCTTCCCCTTTAATTTAGCATTTCTAAATTCCTATATTTCAGCTGATTGTGAGACCATAAAGCATCCAGACTCTGTTTCAACACTCATTTTCCCTCTCTGTTGATTCCCTTGGTGACCTAGAAATCAGAAAACAAGGCTTGATTGTCACAGTTGCAGGGTCACCATAGTAACAGCGGATGCTAAAGCTAATTCAGGGTATCAACCTTGCTGCATGAGGTTTTGATTTGGTTTTTGCCATCAAAAATCATTTTAAGGACCTTAGTGAAAGCATATAAATTATGTCCAGTAACATGCAAGTGTGCATGAGTTTCATTGTTATACATTATTAGAGCCCAATATTCCCCAACACATTCGCCCTCCACATTGTATTTTCTTCCTCTTTCTGTAGTTTAAGAAAGGATTTTCAAACAGTAGAGCACTCACTGATCTGTGAACCTATACTATTCATTTGTTTGGTTTGTTTTATGTTTTTAATTTTTTGTTTCTTTTTTTAAGATTATAATACAATTAGATCATTTCCCCCTTTCCTTTCCTCCCTACATATCCTCCCTTATACTCCTCCTTGCTCTCTTTCAAATCCGTGGCCTCTTTTGTCATTAATTGTTGTTGCCTACATATGTGCATATGTATATACATATATTCCTAAATGCATGAGCTTTTAATGGCACTATTGCCTTGCAAACTCGAGCATAGATTTAACAGGGTGATTGAGGGTAGAATCACTTTATTGATCTTTCATTAAGACACACACACAAAACCATGCATTTCCTTGCAGCATTTATCAGTCAGTTGCTTGCAGGATCTCTCATTTTTCTCTTTTTTTCTTGTGAGTACTAGTTGTTGTCAAACAGAATCATCTTTCCTTTGAAGAAAACATTATCAGACAAGACTTTAAAAAAGGAATGGTATAGAATGTTGATGTTTTCTTCTCTCCTCTTGTTTCCAGAACCAAACTTTGTGTCTTCCTATGACATTGGAAATTTCACCTACTTCTTCTTCCGAGAAAATGCTGTGGAGCATGACTGTGGGAAGACCGTGTTCTCCAGGGCTGCCCGGGTCTGCAAAAATGACATTGGCGGGCGATTCCTCCTGGAAGACACCTGGACCACCTTCATGAAGGCTCGCCTCAACTGCTCCCGGCCCGGTGAGGTGCCCTTCTACTACAATGAGCTACAGGGCACCTTCTTCCTGCCGGAGCTGGATCTGATCTATGGCATCTTCACCACCAATGTGTACGTAACTGTAGCTGAAGTTTTCTCTTTCCCTCCTCTTCCACTTTTCCTGAATGAGCCTTTTGTTCTTTGACCTCTGAGAGTTTAAAGTTCCCTTAGAGAAAGTTTTTCTTATTTTCCTGGGCTTACAGCCAAAGAATGACAAAAAGAGTCTTTTCAGTATGAATTAAATGTTAGGTAAAGATACATGCTTTGCGGGACTTGCTGCAGGAAAGCTAATTCAAAATATTTTTTTATATTTGTCCTCAGGAAAAAGTAGTATCAAATTATTGTATTATAAATTGTTCCTTTCTGATTAGTGTGTTCTAGACACCTTGTGAAGTGTATATATATATATATATCAGATGTGTTTTTTTTTTTTCTGTAGGAAAGACACACATTTTTGCATAATAAAAACATCTGGAAAGTTTGAGCTTTACAATCACATCATTCTTGCCTGGACCTCTATATTTAATTGAAGTGCAATTGCTATTTTCTCCTCATAGCAAGCATCTTGTGCTTCTCTTGGGAAAGATGCTCCTAACCTCAATGGCAGTATTTGACTTAGGAAATCTTGGGAAATTTCCAGAGCTCTCATTCAGTCTTTCCTTGGTGGAGTGTCTCATGACCCTGCAATGGCTTTCCCTCTGTAGGCTGTGAGAAGACCTCACAAGTGCATCTCCTGCCTCTCTGATGACGTGAGAACTCTGGGATGTCCTCCTATATTAGCGATGATGGTGTAGTTCTACGGTTTGAAGCTCCAACCTGGAGATCCCACAACTTAGACAAAAGTCAAGCAATCCTCTCCAAAGCTGTCTTCATTCAGTGTGAAGTTAGGAAAGTGTGTAGTATGGATGGCTTGCCACCACCCCCTTCATGGTGGCCATACCTGTTGTAGATCTGCTTTTCAACCCCAGAGGTCATTTTCACTACTTGAGTATTTTCTTTCTCATAAAAAATCAATTTATGGGTTCTAAAGTTGATTTGATTCCCAAAACCTTGTTTAAGAAATAGTGTTGGCTGCACAAGATGAATGTTCAGTTGCTCAGCTGACATCAATCTTATACACAATCGGAGCTTGACTTGCTTAGCTGTCCATTTGATGGCTCTGAGCCAGAAATACCAACAGACAAAGCTCCCATTTCAAAAGTTCTATAGGGACTATGCTGAGCCATTCCAAGGTGAGTCCATTTAGAAAGACGTGAAAGTGTTTCAACTGCTTTTCAGAATCTCAAGTGTTCACTATGTCGAAGCCACCCAGCATCAATTCTCTCCAGACAGACAGGAGCATAGGAAATTTTCATGTTCTACTCTCCCAAAGACAATGAGAAGAAGGATAAAAGCAGCATAGTGAATAAATCCACAGTAAGCACCCACTTCTTTTTAATCTCCGGCCATGGAAGCACCTGGGCTCCACATGGGACTCTTTTCTCAGTGTCGGACTCCTAGGGGAAAAAAATATCTTTTATGAGATGTTCTTTAGCACCATATCCTTCTCACAGAACCCTTACAAAGAACTGAAACCCAGATCTTTATTGCAAAGTAATCAGGATGCTGCTCCCCATCTATGGCCAGGTGTCAGGACCTCACTGAGCAGGCTTCATTTTTCTTACATGGACATGTCTTTTGCTTTGAAGATTCCAAGATTGCATTGGAATTAAGGAAGTCTGTAGAGTGGTGTCTTTCCCCTTTTCATTGTTTCCCAGGTAAAAAACGCAAGTTAGATATGAAGTTCTAGAAGTCCTGTGATTTTTTTTCCCCCTATGATGTAGGGAAAACACTGACTTATTTCTGACAAAATATTGACTCAGACCATTAATATGGAAAATACTTTCAACACCCCTCATTTGGTATCCATTTTCCTTTGAGAACCATAGCTCAGCTTGAAATGCAAATTTGAGAAAGAAGCATTTGCCATCTCAGTGCATAGTCAAAGGGCACTGACCTTCCAGAGCTTTCTGCCGACAGCTTTCTAGTAGAACCTGAATTCTAAATTAAGGCTTCAAAATTTCATGTCAGTGCTCTTTTAATTTTTTTTTCTTGTTGACCCTTTAGATTTACAGTCTCTTTTAAATAATAAATAAGATGAATCTGACAGGCATTCCTTGCAAAATACATTCCATTTATTATTTTTTAAAGAATGACAAACACGAATACCTGTAGATTTAATAGGAAAAAAGGTTTGGCCAGCTGCCACCTAAGCAACTGGATAAATAGGTGGAAGAGGAAGCCATGGGAGATGGATGGATGGCTCCACCCACTGGAAGACAAAACGCCTTTCCTCCGGAATTTCAAATTCAGGAAGCTTTTCAAAATCCCTTGTTGCTCCTGTTGTAGCTGAGTGAATTTAGTCCCCAGATGGCAGGGTCATATTTGCTACTTACTCTTATTTCATTATCTGAATGTTTGTTTTTACATGAAGAAATCACAAGGCAGCCTTGGGCATTGCCCTGACTCTATCCTCTTGAACTTGAAATAGGTAAAGGTTGATGCTATCCCTGTGATCAGTGGAGGCCAGAGGTCAATGGTGGGCTCTGACCAGCCTGTGCCTTCTCCTTTCTCCTTCCCCAGGAACAGCATTGCTGCCTCTGCTGTATGTGTCTTCAATCTGAGTGCCATCTCACAGGCCTTCAATGGACCTTTCAAGTACCAAGAGAACTCTCGCTCAGCCTGGCTGCCTTATCCTAACCCCAACCCCAACTTTCAGGTAATCTCAGGGGAAGAGGGCATCGTGAGTATCCTCCATTAAAAATGTAGAAACCCAACATAGCACAGTGAGCCTGAGCAATTAAACCATGGCTGAATGCACAGTACAGCTGCAGTCTCCTGGCCCCTGGGAAACAGCACCTCCCTCGGCTTAGCTAATGTCAATAGAACACAGCCTTTTGTGGACTATGGCGCCTAGACAAGAAAAGGGGGGCCTTTTGTGAGCTGTGATGACTGATAGTTAACTGAAAAAGGCCAATCTTCTGCAGTGGGCTAGGAATCTAGGCTTCAATTACTGCTAATGATGATGTACTGTGTCCCCCAAATCTCTGATCCCTAATGAATGATGTCCCAGTGAATAGGGCCCAGGGCACAGAGCAATGGGTCTTGACAAACAGAATTAGAGCTCTGATTGGCAAGTATGGTGAGGCTCCCTGTTGGGAAGGGTAGATTGTGGCAGTGGCTGCTGAGAAAAGAAGCCTGGCTGATGTTGATTCATCTTTCTGTCACCCAATTAGAATGTCCAGGCTGTGATGTCTTTTGTGAATCATCCCACCTCCCATGTCCAGAAGAAGTAGAGACCTGGGGATGAAGTTATTTATTTTGTTCATCTAGGCAGCAGGTGTATTCATCTGCTTGGGTTGCTATAACAAAATACCACAGTTTAGATGGTATTGAGAGAGAGAGAGAAAGAGAGAGAGAGGTTGGGGGAACCTTATTTCATTTTCTGGTGAGGTAAGATGACCAGCTTTTCCTTGTATCCTCCCTTAGAAGAAAGGAATATCCCGGTATTTCTTCCTTCATTGCTCCAGGTCAGTGCATGACTCCTAGGACCTTGAATGCTTCCTACAGGTCCTGTCTTCAGCTACCACCATGCTGAGAGAGAGATACTACATATGAATTTGGGTGCAGCACATACAAGAGCAGCCTTCCCTGTAGGTCTGTTACTATCAACTCAGGCAAAATAGTTAACATCACCAAGTTCCCAACACTATGTCTAATGTGTCAGGTCTCTAACTTTATATGGCATCAGTGCCACACGAGTGACAATGCTCTATGTACAGAGAGGGACATGGAGTCTCAGGTGAAATAGCCAGGGTCACATCTGATTGGAGATCAAGATCAGCTCCTCCCTCTACCAACAGGGGCAAAATGCTGATCTTATCCAACTAAGTGCCTGTTAGTAACAAACATTGATCAGTGACAGAGCTGAGTCCTTGCAATTCTGGTTGGTTTATCACTCTAAATCATAAAACCTGTAACTTCCAAGAAAATGGACTTAAGAAAAAGCTCAAATTTTTATACTTAGATTTTGGTAAGTATCAATCAATTACGATTGAACTTTTTTTCATTTGTTCAATATTTTTAAGATTTTGGACAAATTATGGGATTAAGAATATGATAGCTACTTTGCATGTCATACTTGGCTTTTACTGCTTTCCTTGGGCAAAGTGTTTAGCATCTTCTCATGACTTCCTTGATAGAAAGGGGAAGGCAGGATACAAATAAAATTGGAAGTATCAGTCAATATACATGATTATTGCACAAAGCATTTCATTCAAAGGACCCATGCGAACCATCTGTCTGGAGTCTTATGTGGCCTACGTGTTGAGTAATTACATATTTTGACTGTGTTTTTCTTTTTGATATGAAGAAGAAAATATATTGTTCCTTTTTTAAAAGTGTCTAAGTCCTGAAGCTTAAAAAAACAAAAAAGGCACTTACATTTATAGAGCTCTCCATTGCACTATGCCATTGGATTGAAACTCTTCACAATGAACTGAGTGACTCAGCCAACTTTATAATCCTTTACATACTTCAGAAAATGTGTATCTTAGCCCATGCATCGAGATGTGTCTATAACACATAGTAGGTCCCCTCATGCTCTGGTGTTACAGTGCCTGCATCACATTGACAGGATTGCTTTCATCTGCTAGTAGAATTAGATTCCTGCTGAATACTGAAGGAAGCATATGCAGAGGTGGTACACATGCCAGGCAAGAAGCTGACTCAGCTGATGTCATCCTCTGAGTATAGATTTAAAACTTCCAGGAAACTAAGGTTACAGATTATGGTGATGGTAGTGTGTGTGTGTGTGTGTGTGTGTGTGTGTGTGTGTGTGTGTGTGTGTGTCTCAATCTCTTACTACAGATATATTTCCATTTCTAGATTGTGTTTAATAGTCTCCTTGTCATAGGTGCCTGACCAGTGTTCTAGCTCTCAACTATACTGACAGAGAGTGCGAACTCATTTTGTACCAAAGATCCCTCCATTAGACATATATAAGTGTCCCAACATTGACAATAACCAATGGTGATATTTGTATGTATTATTGTTAACATTAATGTTATTGTTATTTTGGTTTTTCTCTTGACAATTAGAATTCATGTAGCACTTGTACAATAGGAAAAGAGCTAATTAAATGGAGGAACTGGTTCAGGAAAAAGATCTAGGAAGAGAAATGCACCACACTTTAAAATCTCAATTAAAACCCATAAAACAACAGAAACTACTAGTCTCCACATCCTCAGTGGTATTTGTCTGCCCTAGTAGAGGTAGAATATGTTGAGCCCCGTAAGACTGTCAGACACAGCTGCAGAACAGCTGGGCAACAGGCTCCAGAACCTTCCACGTGTTTTATGACCAACAATCAGAAATGGTGCAGACAAAATGGAAACATGGGAGTGCAGCAGCAGTCAGATGAGAAGACTGCTTGGAAAACGCAGGCTGGGATGTAGCTGCATCCTGGGGGTCCATGGACACACTCTTGTCTTGGCAACAAGCTCTAAAGGAACAAGGGAACCAGGGAGCAGAGACACCATGAACATCATGTCGTCAAGGATGAAGTTAGCACATTTGAAGCTTGACCATCAAGCCTAGGTGTGCTGGGATGAAGACAGATGTGCTGTGCTTGAAACAGATAACACACAAGCAGTTATTATTTTCCTAGCAAGTAGTAGAATTCCTGATCTTGTTTGAGCATGCGTTGGCATGACAGCTATGGAAGGCTGTAAGCCACATAAGGACACAAGCTGTGCTTTTTCCGTTTTTTGTGGTTTCTTCTTGTACGGGATCCCCAGGGTAGCACATTCCCTGACAATAATGAGGGGAGACCAGTGTATAAGGTTCATCAAGAGAATTTACAACCCTTAGAGAGCTTGGTGAGCTCTCTGTACAACAAGAAATACATCTAGTAAATTTGAATAGTTTTCAAAATATTGGAAACAGAATCCTTGGGTGAGATATTCGTTATAGGATGGCAACAGAAAAGAATGGTAGAAAACACTTCATATACAGTTCTTGACAATACAGGCAGACAACATACATGAAACATGGCCTCCCAGAGGAAATGTGGTCCATCCTAGCACTCTAATTGCCCCTGGGTCCCCTATATCTGTTTTTTTTTAAGGGCAGTAAGAGGTCATTGCCTTTAGAGTATACCTCCGGGTTTTTAGGATGCCATTTATTTTAAGACAGAATGCATATATAGACAGTGGCTTTATGCAATTGAAGCCAGCAGGTAGGTCATTGTTGCACCCACCCCTCGAGTATTGCCTGTGACATTGCCTGTAACTAGCACTTACCTGAACAGATTACAGACCTAACCCAGGTGGTGATATTGCTTACATTTAAAAGCTGTTCCTAGGGACTTGGAGAGATGGCTCAGCTATTAAGAGCACACATTGCCTGTAATAATAGTTAAAATATTAAAAAACAAAAACAAAAACAAAACTAACAAAAAATCCACATTCCTGGTAGGCAATGTGTCCATACTTAGAGTATTATTACTAAATACTATTTATACAAAAATCTATTGGTACAGTCTTCCCTTACTCCAAAACAAACAACTGCATGTAGAATTACTTGTTCATTTATCTGTCCCATTATTTATCCATTTTTTTCCCTCGGGACAGCAAAGCTCCAGGGACTATGGACATCCTGCCTGCATTTAGACAGATGCATTTACAATCTGGTGGATAGCTTATGCACTATCAGGAATGTTGTCTTATTCCTGGCATTTACAAGGACTTAATTTATAAATGCTTTCTTCTCATTACTTCAGTTTTCACATCAAACAGGAGACAGAAGACAGGAGCAGAACTGGTGTGTTCCAACCACTTAGCATTTGAGGAGACAAGCTAGAAATCCAGGCCTTTCTTGAGGCCACAGGTCATCTGCTGCAGGCCTTACTTTGCCCTCAACACATCCTTTACGTGATGCTCGGGTGCTCCTAACAAGAATGTAAATTTAAATTAATCACTGGTCTAGTTGTGTGCAGTCCATTTAACTCTGGGTTTCTCTACTCCACAATCCGCCTATCATTTTATGGCATATAGGATATTTTATCAAATGCTACAAAAATATAATTTACTTTCAAAAAACAATTTCCATCTTGTACTCTGGAACTCTAACCTGTTATAAAAACCAAGTATTGGGCCGGGCGGTGGTGGCGCACGCCTTTAATCCCAGCACTCGGGAGGCAGAGGCAGGCGGATCTCTGTGAGTTCGAGGCCAGCCTGGTCTCCAAAGCGAGTACCAGGAAAGGCGCAAAGCTACACAGAGAAACCCTGTCTCGAAAAACCAAAAAAAAAAAAAAAAAAAAAAAAAAAAAAAAAAAAAACCAAGTATTGGGGGTGACATGTTCTAAATGGTAGTTTCAGGCTATGTGGACCCCATCAACCCTGCTCATACGGAGTGCTGCTGAGGAGCCTCACTTCCTATGCCAGGCTTTAAAGTTTATAAAGGAACTGAGAGAGGCCATTCTGACCTGGACTCAGAGAACGCTGTGCTCTTTCCCACCTGCCCTCTTACCTTGACCTTGCCACCTACTGTCGTTTGTGAGGCCTATCAGCCTCCCTCCAGCACAGCTCTGAGATTAGTTCCCAACCATTTCTGGCCTGCCTTTTCCCCCAAGTATACCAGATCATCTTCATAGTATTTTCACTTCCTGCAGACTGATTCTTCTTTCCTTTTCCTCCATTCTCCATCCTCTCCCCTTTTTTCGCCCCTCCTTTCCTCACTGCTTTTATCGTCTTCTCCCATTACCAACTTGCTGTCTTGTGTTGCAAATTCTCAGGCTCTAACCTATTCCTTTACACTCTCCTCTAACAAGAGATACAAATACATTTGGAGCAGTCACACTATTTGTGTTGCCCACATGAGTGATGTTGTTTACAGATTAAGATAAATACCAGAGTATCGCCATGGAGTATAGAGTTGCTTATGAACCCACTGTGATTGCAAGAAAATACATCCATCTATATGTGCTCATCTGCTTCATATTCAATGTCAGTTCACCTTCATCCATCAGATATTGTTGTATTGCAGTTCGACAGACAGCTCCCAAGAGACTTGACAGACCACAAGGAGATTCTCTGCATCTGCTGTTCAAATTAGAGTCAACAACAGTGCCTGCTCCATTTTAAAATGTCACATTTTCTTTGCCATCCATTGAGAGATTCCAAATATGATGAGATTCCATCTACAGTGGAAGAACAGGAGGGATGAGAAGGTCAAGGGAGATGGAATTGATTGATTTTCACACTCAGTCATGCATCATAGCTTACTCTGTTTTCAGCTTATTCTGTTTACCTCTCTATTTGGTAAGCACATGAGCTGTGAGCACGCAGGTAGCCAGCTTTTGTAACATGGCCTATCTTCCCTTACAGTGCGGCACCATGGACCAGGGCCTGTATGTAAACCTGACAGAAAGAAACCTTCAGGACGCTCAAAAGTTCATTCTGATGCATGAGGTGGTCCAGCCAGTGACCACCGTGCCCTCCTTCATGGAGGACAACAGCCGCTTCTCCCATGTGGCCGTCGACGTGGTGCAGGGCAGGGACACACTCGTCCACATCATCTATCTGGCCACAGGTAGGAACTCCGCCTTCCTTTAGATGGTTTTCTGCCATCTTATCATTCCATGTCTTTAATTCCAACACTCACCTTCAAGCATAGCCATGTGTCTGTATTCTGTTACAACAAGCAAAACCCACAATGTGTGCTTATCCTTGTCAACCTATGCATCTCCTCTTGGAAATCTTACTTTTACTCTTTCTGCTGGATTAGAATTTTAACTAGAGAGACAATGCCTTCTTTCTTAGCTATTCTTGCTGTCCAGTGGTTCTTGGCATGACTGTATTTGGCTAGTTTAAGACAATAGAACATTTTGTTAGAAGATACTGCTGGATGAAATGTTTTCTGGAGATTTTCATGCAGATTTCTGATTGGTGCACAGCAGTACTTATGGCAAGCCATTCCTGACAGAGGTTCATGGAAACATTTGAAGAACATATGCAACACAATGTTCCCTATGTAGCGCAGGCCATGGTACTTATCAACAGTAGGTAACGATAGACTTCTTCAGAGTTCAAAGTGAGTGAGGACTAGAAGGCGTGCTCTCCCTTGTCGAATTCTCTGACAGTCCAGAGTGCATCACCCTGCCTCGGGGGGGACTGTCTCAGCTCCACCTTCCTAGCCCCAGACAGCATAATTTCCCTGTGGAATGGGTTCCTCCCATTCTTTGTGTAGTGTGATGTATACTTGGCACTTCCTCACAAAGCGTGGTTACCCTTTTATGTGGCTATGAATACTATATCCTTCCTTCATAGGATTTCTCAGTTTATAATTGTGTCACTCGGTTTATTGTATTCATGAAATTGCAATACCTCGTTTTCCCACTGTCTGTTGAATTCATTTGGCTCACTGGGGGTACAGGGTGAGCAGGTTGGTACCAGCCTGCTCTCCCAGGGCTCACATTCTTAAAGGGAAATGCAGGAAATAAACTAACTAGTAAGTAAAACACATCACCAAAAAAGTAGTGAAGAGCCAATGAGATGGGTGCCAGTAGAGGGATGTGGTGATGTCTACGCCTGGGAGGCTCCTGTGTCTTGGCTGAAGAGTGTCCTCCAGTGCCAGAAGCATTGGATGCTGCACACCATAGAGAGAAACTATGAACACTGGGAAATACAGGATTGATTAGCATGGATCAGTCCTGCTGAGTGGTCAGTAAGGCAAGGGGAGATGGATGTAAGGATAGGGACATGGATGGGTACGAGATCTGGTGGAGGAAGATTGGGGAGTAGCAGAGGGATCATAAAGAAAAAGTCATGGAACATAACTGCTAGAAGCAACAGTTCGCAGAACTGACTCAGAATAGGGGTGACTGATAAGGTATCTAGTTTTCACGTGAGGTCAGGAAGAGAATTATTTTCTTCTTGTTGTTCATTTGAAGAGAATAGAAGAAATTACTTGCCACTGAGAGATTATGTCTCTTTATGGCTTTGTTTGTCCTTAAAAACCAGAAGGCCGCCTGACACATGGTAGATTTGTAGAGAGTGAACTGGATATTCCCAAGGGTGTTCCTGGTTTTTCATCATAAATGTTCAGGTTAATGTGGCATAAATGAATTTTCTCCTTGGACTTCTGGAGACAGTTGAAGTCCTCATCTGGCCCTGTGGTAGGGGATGCTGAGGAGTGGAACTGGGCTAGGCTAGGCCTGAGTTCAGAGCCTTCTGTCCTGTTCCCACTAGAAGATGTGCATCTGTCCTGTTTACTGTCCTTAAGCTCGCTATGATCATCAGTGAGCTCTGCTGATGACTTGAAGGAATTCTCATTGTAATTATGATGAGTGCTTCCATCATTTCTAGTTGTTGGTTATCGTGGGCTACCACCCATGAGAGAGAGCATATGTCAGGAATCCTTATCTCCTTGTTCTGGAGGCTGGGTCCAAGAGTAAAGTTGTCAGCTTGATGATGTCTGGGAAAAGCTCTCTTCTTGGTTCAGAGATGGTCACCTGTTCATGCCGTTCTTATAAGTAGAGAGAGATTTCTGTGTTGCATAACTTTATTTGAATTTATTGAAAGATAATCTTATCTAGCCAGGCTAGCCTCAAACTCACTCTGTAGACTAAACTAACCTCAAACTTATGATCTTCCTGCCTCAGCTTCCCAAGGGCCAGGGTGCATCTTTTTGTGAGAAGGGCAATGGGTGGATTATGAAAGTTTCACCCTTATGAATACATTACCTTTGGAAGACTCTGTTGCCTAGCACCATCACTTTAGGGTTGAGACCATCAACATATGAATTCATGTGGCACAGAGAACTCCATGCCCCCAGGAGTATAATATTTGAGGATCTTTATTACAAATAATAAGTTTGAATACAAGTGAAAGCAGTCCAACATTGTGAAATTACACGTCTGAGATGAAACCGTAGCCTACATCAGTTGGTTATTAAATGCTTTTAACTGGTTTTAAAAGCAGTTGGTACCACTTCTAGAAGCATTCACACAGAAGCCTAATTGAACGATCTCCTGGTTTGGCTAATCACCCCCTGCCACCCCATGTCATAAATGTATGCCACTGAACTGCATTCTAACAGATAGTTGGTCCATAGCAGCCTGCCTTGAATGAGTCTACCTGTGACTTTGTTCTCACAGTTCATATGATCAACAGTATTGTAGAGAGTGTTTTAATTAAGCTTGTGCATTTTTAAGACAACTGCTGTTGTACCCTTTGTGGACTATAGTAATATCACTTTGACAATCATTGGGAAACCAAGAGTCTATGACTTGCTCTATTGTGGAATTTCCTTATTAAATTCCCTGGGCCTAAACCCACAATATCTCAAGGGGTTTTGCATGTTCCTGTTAGGCTTGTGGGCTACAAAAGATCCCAGGCTTGCTGACTCTGTCCCCAGGTTTACTCCTTTGTACCAAATGAGTCACACTGTGATGAATGCCCTTTTTGGTTCTACTGACCTAATGTTTTGCTTCTGTTTTAATCTGTTACCTATTTCGACGCTGAGTCCTCATGTGTGACTAGGTTGTACTAGCTGTGATCACAGGTCCTGTTGGTAGGTGAGGTAGCACATACATATCGGTCCTCAGTGAGTCTCCATTGCTCACTAGTCAAGCTGTTTCTCTAAAGAGGGGTTTTCAGTGGTTGAAGACACTCTCCAGTAAGAAACCAGCTTGGACTGATGGGGTCCTGCAGATGGTCCTGCTCTAAACCTTATGCACAACTCAGGCAGACACATGGAACATTCTGATGAAAACTAAAGGCCTGTTTAGATTACCTTGACAAGTTTATCTTTGGAGTCTTTATGAATTACAAACATGTTCCATTAACCTCTAGGCAGGCTACTTAACTCTTAAAGCATGCCTATGTATTTTCAAATTTTAATTCATAATAAAATTTAGTTTAAATATATATTATTTTAATATCACAGTGTACAATTGTTTGTATTTCCAAGGTAATGAAATGTATAAATGAATTATGAGAAATTCTATTTCAAAAAACAAGCTGCAAATCACTTTTAACTAAACTACACAGAAATAGCTGACTCCTGATACTTGGAAATGTAAAGATTTTGACTTTCCTGGCTCATGAAGCTGATGCTTATCTCGTGTCTTGTTTATATCTTACCCATGTGCAATGACAGTGACAGTTGTGTCCTTGGACAGGAAAGCCAGAGTCCTCGAGGTGCAGTTACCCTTGCTGTCTCTTGACCATAAATTCAAGGGACAGAACATGGCTATACCACTCCCAGTAGCGGAGATGATGCACACTCCTTCCTTCCTTCACATGAAATAGACTCTGGTTAGCTTTCCCATTACTCCTTTGGGGGAAGTACATATTCTCCCAGCCTGAATATACACAAATAAATGCAAATAGACCACCTGCTGGCAGTGGCCACTCAAGAAGCCAATTCATTTTACCCCAACATGCTCTCCACAGATATTCACAAAGTTTCCTCATGGTGCTAAAATGGTGCACACTGTATCCCAGATACCATTTCCCTGCCGCACCCCACCTCCACCTCCCACCCCATCCCTCACCCCCACACACACCAGGTTCCTTCATATTCTGTTTCTTGTGCATTCATCTCTTCCTTCTGACTCTCAGCCAAAGTAAAACCTGTTCTCTGGGCCTGACTGGATTGCAGGTCACTTCTTTGAAGGTTGTCTGAGTTGGAGCTGGGGTACATTTCTGATGGCAGCTCTTTTAGATCACTTATGACAGGAACTCTCTAAGTGGCTGAGTCTTAAGTGCATCTGCTTCCAGCTTTTTTTTTACAGAAAGACTACATCCAAGTCTGGTTGAGCACTGTAGTCTGGAATTCCCCTCCTCCCTTGGCTTCAGCACAGCAGACACCCTGACACCCCTTACCTGCTATATGAAGGCACTTTGCAGACCTTCCTTGTCTCCTTTGGTCTCATGCAGGCCTGACGCTCGGCTTTGGCCTTGGCCTAGGGGTGTTCTTATTTCACACTCCCTCTTTACACATGCTGCCCAGTCTCATAGCTCCTCCTTTCCTTCTAGGATTGGCACTGGCAGCTTTACTTTCATCCGGCCTCGGTTCCGGTGTGTACAAATTATTCCCAAGTTACACTGTACATAACTTTAAAATGGGTTAAATTTAGATTGTAGTAATTGTCGTACAACTCAGAATGTTGTGAAAACCAGATCAATTTTCTGTCATGCAAATTATACTCCCAATAATGGAATATTCACAAACATTTATTTAACGCCCCCCATAAAGAAAATACATAAACATTTTCAAAAAATTTACATTATGAGCAAAATTTCTTTAGAAAAATCAAAGCAGGTGATAGATGGGCATGAAAAGATGAAAAGGAAGATCCCCACACACAGGTTTAAATGCTTCTAGCTATTTGAATGGACTGGATTCTTATGCTAAGTTTACCAGCAGGATAGTCCTGCTTCTTCCAGCTGTGGATTTTTATCTTGGAATAAAATACTCATTGAAAAGCCAGAAAACAGACCTGGCTGAGGAGCTTTAATAGGGAAAGCCAGAGTTCACTGGGCTAAGGAGAAATAGACTGAACTGGATCCTCCACTGAAGGATTG